TAGTGGTGTAGGATTGGAAGTCTTTATTTATGGATTGCTCTGAAGTTGACTACTTGCATTTACTTTCCGGATGGGTTGTGGTAAGATAGCCACTAATTGATAAATTGGTAAAATAGGATATAGAAATAAAAAATTGTTTTTGATTATTCATAATTTTTAATTGATTTTTTAATTGATTTATTTTAATTTAAAATATTTGTTTTTGAATAAAAAAAAAATAATAGAATTTTTTAATATTCATATTTTTGTTGATTGATTAAAAAAAAGTTTATATTAATAATTAAAGGGGGGAAGCCATAGGCTATATAGTCTGAAATAAAATAATTCACAATAAAGGAATATAAAAGAGTTGTTACAATGGGGAAAAACAACATCAAGGCTATGAAGGTAATTACACCTGTTGATATAGTTGAAAATATGAAACGTTGCAATACTATTAACTAAAGGGTATCTGGAAAAGGGAATAAAAGTTGGCCTGACATTGAACAACCATAGCTAGTAGAGGGGACTCTTAACCCTGACGTCATCAACATAATGAAAGTGCTTCTGTCAATTCATAAAGCAGCACAAAAGAAGGGAAAAAAGGGAACTACGTAAAGAAAAGAGACAGAGAGCTGGGTGTTCTTAAGTTGTCCTTCATTCTCAAACAAAAACTGATAAAAGATTCCAGCGATAAGATAAACAAAGGTATAGAGACAATTGTGAAACAAGGAAAGGCGACAGAAAAACTAATGGCAGAAGTTAGTACACCTTTCTCACATACGGATTCATCAAAAAGACCCCCACCTTATGAGAAGGAAGTAGAGCTTAGGGATGTTTATCCTCAGCTTCCAGTGATCATCCAGGAGGGTGATTATTGCATCAGAGATGAAAGTGATTGAATAATAGATAGAGGACAAGCAGAAACGACAATAAAAATGAATCCAAAACTCCAGAAGTAAGAAAAAACCGAGATGCCTGGAAACTAAGAGAAGAATGAGGTTCGGAAAGATGAAGATAAAGATGAAGATACAGAAGAGAAGAAAAACTGCTGAGAAAAGAATCCCAAGAATTGGAGGAGAAGAATACATTGAGGCCAAGGAAAAAGGCCACTAGTAAGAAGTTGATATTTCGAGGACAGAACTTAGAATATAAGCTGTTGAAGAATCCTGATATGTCAACAACAAGAAAGAACAGGACGAAGAAACTCTCAGAAAACTCAATCAAATACAACTGGTGGAGAAGGAGAAGAGAAGCTTTGGTTATGAAGAATCAGAGTGAACCAAATCAACAATCACTGCTACAGCTTCAACTGAACAAGGTCAAATGCAATTGTACCAGCCACCAAGGTCGGTACCAGTTGTTTCATATCCACAGCCAGTTTCTGGACAGACACAGAATTGGAGAGGAAGAGGACGAGAAGGCTTAGAAGGAGGAGGAAGGTTTCAGCTACACTTCCAGCAACTTTCAGAAGAGTGTTATAATTGTGGACAGGTTGGTCACTTTACCTGTGATTGCAATGCGTCAGGAGGAAACAACAGAGGAAATTTCTGAGGAAGATAAAGGAGCAAGTGAAGATCACCTGTTCTCCAGGTGAACCCTTAAAGGAGCAAGGATTCTAGAGTGCCTAGAAGATACGAAGGGGGGTGTCAGCTGATAGCACCGATTAGGGAGAAGAACAAAAATATCCAACAATTGAAGTGAAAATAAAAAGGACTATGAGAAGTGATGGTGAATAGAGGAAAAGCTTTTATCTGTGTTGAGCCTAAAGAGGTTAAACATCTCACTATGTAAAATTAACTAATTAGGATAGGGATTTGAGGTAGTAAAACAGCTAATTACTCTTAAGGAACCAATTGAGCTCTGCTATAAAAAATCAAAGAGAAATTAAAATAGACATACTAATATTAGAACATATACCTATTGCATTGTTGGGAAGAGATGCATTGTGTAAATTGAACTGTACAATAAGATGTACACTAGACGGCTGTCTGGTAGAAGATTTTAAAGAATAGGGTTTTTGGGAATCATATTTGCTTGAAAAAATAATATCATAGGAAGGATGACAATCTATTAGACTGCCTATTGGACAATCTGTCTGAAAAATAAAGTTACAAGGGGTGACTGTTATTCTTGGTTACATTCCTACACCAAGAGGGGAAAGAAATTTCAAACTAGGCTAAAAGGTGTTTGATCGTTTGCCAAGTCTGTGTGTAAAGAAGTCAGAAGCAGGTGGGGACTTCCCAATCACATATTCTAAAAATTGGTGGTAAAGGATTTTGTGAATAAATCAGTGGAAATGGTTTTTAAAGGTTAGGAGAAAAGATTAGATTAAAAAAGTTAGGAGAACTAGGGTTGAAGGAACTCTAAGACAGTAAGCTAAGTTTCAAAGTTAGTAGTAAGAGAGAGAGAACAGTGGTGAAGGACATTTTAGAGTTTAGTGGGAAGATAGATATGGTAGGAGTTTAGATCTGTTAGGAGCAGATGCATTGAGAAAGTATGCGTTGCTGAATGATAAGAG